ACATATCTGCCATCCTACCTACTTAGGAGGCTGAGGCGGGAGGATCACTAGATCACAGGTTAACCTGGGAAACACAGAGAGACTCCATCCCCAAAAATGAAACAAACAAAGAAGAAAAAATTTCTAAGAAATCCCATATCATCCTCCATTTAATATGCCACGTGTGTGACAGAGCTGACGTATGGGTACACGCCACTAGACTCTAGGGCCCATGCTTATGATATGTGTCGTGGTGCCCTGCTGTCTTGTTAGTGAATCAGGTCCACTTGGTATCACACTACGCAATCACTAAGACAATGAATTGGCCAAAAGAAGGAAAAAAATCACTCATAAGGAGAGGGAGCAAAGAGTGGAGGATCCCAGTCTTAAATCCACTTCGCTGACAATAGGGTTTAGGGGTATTTATGAGATAAAACAGCAGGGTGAGGCTAGGCCCAGCTGCACCCAGTGTGGCTTCACCAGCTTTGGGGGCCAAGGCAGCAAGTTGTGAGTTCAAGACCAGACTGGGCAATAAAGTAAAGCTTCATCTCAAAATTGCAATTAATTAATTCAATTAAAAATATCAAAAGATTTTGCCTCTGAGTACTTTTTTGGATATATTTCATAGACTTATTGTTGACTGACTTTTTACATTATTTTATACTCTAAAATTTCTTCATTTATTGCCTCTTCAATCTTATTGCTGTTTGGGAAAACTTACTCTGTGTTTTGAGGTATTTGCACTACTTATTAAATAAAATATAAAATTTTCATTATCAGTATGTAGACAGTTTTCTATGAATGCATATTAGAGAATACTTTTATATCACATCTGATTTGTAGAGTTGGAGATTTCTTGTTTTTGTATATATTATTTTTGAATGTAACCTAGGAGAATATACTTATAAAAATGTGTACAAATTACAAGCTATAACTAAAAAGAATGAGACAGTGTGTATCCTTTATGTCTACCAAGAACCTTAAAATATTCTGACCTAGAAAATGAGAGCCTAGCATATTTTTTTCCATAAAGAACCAGAAAACAGATATTTTTGGCTTTCTGGGCTACATACAGCCTCTTTATCAAGTGCCTTGCTCTGGTGTCAAAGCGAATAAACAGCCACAGATGATACAGAAATCATGAGCATGGTTGTGCGCTCTTTGCTTTACTAAAACTTCACAAAATCAAATGACTGGAGACTGGATTTGGTCCCAAGTGACTGTGGTTTTCTGGCTTCTAAATCACATGATATTCATAATTGAATGAAATAAGATGAAGTCTATAAAGTATCCTACAGGGAAAATCAAGGTAACCCGGAACACACACACACACACACACACACACACACACACACACACAACATAGAGAGGTAACATGTTTTACTGCACCATGCTTTGTTCAACTTCTCAAGTGCCATAGTTTTTATGAATGAAATCTTTGAGACTTCAGGGTAAGAAGCAACTGTACATTTGGTGGTGATACCAAGAGAACTAGAGCTCAAAGAAGAGCCTGAAGACATGACTGCATCACCTCTATCTCCTGCTAACACTTGATCTGTGGTGCTGGGATGGAACTCAGGGCTACGCACACACACTACCACTGTGCCCCATCCCCAACTCATTCACCAGGGATTAACTCATCAGTGTTGCTTCTTATGGATGAACAAGAAAGTGGTTTGCTGAGGTAGAATCTCCTCCCGGCGCAGAAACGGAGAATATAGTTGAAATGACAAGAACAGATTAAAAATCTGGCATAAGTTTCCAGGTTCCAGAGGGCTGACTTCAGTTCTGAAAGGTGTCTTACTGCGGGTTAAATACTTTCAAACAGCTTCATGTGGCACAGAGAAGTCTTTCTGGAAAGGAAGAGTTCATCAATATGCCAAACATTGTCATCTTATTTTAAGGAATTTTCACAACAGCCACCACTACTAGCAAAGCAGACCCACTTGGCAAGGGCCCAGATCATCAGCAGTGGATTCTGGCAATAGAGATTTGCTTTCTGGAATGAGGTCTCCCTAAATCATCTAGGCTGGTACTGAATGCCTTGGGATCTGAGCCAAGTTTAACTGTGTAAGGTTTTGCAGTACTGAGGATCAAACACAGGATTTTATTAATGATAGGCAAGTAGTTTACATAACACTTTATTACCTGGCATTTAAATTATAGTACGCTCACTTTTTTAGACATAATGCTATTATATACTTAATAGATTATGGCATCAGAATTTTTGAGACAGGGTCTCACTATATAGTTCGGTCTTGTCTCACTATATAGACCAGGCTGGCCTCAAATTGCAGAGATCCTCCTGCCTCAGCCTTCCCAGTACTCTGAATCCTGCAATATTTGCTTTACGACAGATCTGGGACTGAAACTGCTACATATGTGTACATCTCAAGATTGTATTAGTGGGCTAAACCTACTTAATAATGATATATAATCCTTTTGACATGTCATTGGATTTTGTTTGTCATCATTTGCTGAGAAGTTTTATGTAACTGTCTATCATGATTTGTAACTGGAAAGCCCCTCCAAAGTCTCAGAAGTGCATAAGCCAGGCTTTGGCGAGGCCATTATTAGCTCATGAAGGCGCTGCACTCTCGGTGAGTTTATAGGTGAAAGTGATGTTAGCCGGTGAGGACTGGCTGGAAGAGTGCTTCACCAGGAGTGAGGCCCAGAAGGGTGGGCCTGTTTCTCCTGCTCCCCTCTGCTTCCTCAGGGCCTTGGCCACTCTTTCCCTGGACTATAGACTGAAACATCTACAAACTTCGAGGCACGATAAACCTCTCCTTCCTTAAGTCACAGGTGTCTCAGTGATGAGAAGGTGACCAAGATAATACTCATGAGGACGTCCTGGGGGGACTAGAGACTGTTGAACTGGCATTTGTGTTTGAGTAGCAGTAGGAAAGTGGGTGGGGCCTGAGTCGTGCATAAGTGACCCATGACAGCATAAGCTGGAGGACAGTTTTTAAATTCCTGCCTCTATAACCCAGGGTGACATTGGGAGAGTTGGAAAATGGAGATATTATGGCTGTGGAGACTGTACCAATAACCACCTGAAATAACCCGAGTGAGTGAGTACTGGCTTTCAAAATATTACTTTGACAAAGTGTAAAAGTGCACTAGAAATGGAATAGTAAATATAAGAATAAACAATGTGGGCTGGAGATTTAGCTCAGCGGCATAAGCACCTGCCTTGCAAGCAGGCGGAGCCCAGGGGAAGACCCCCCGGAGGATGGAAGGGACCTAGAGAACCATTTTCTGCACCTGCTGACCTGTTCCCAGAGGTGACTCCTACTGACTGCGGCGTGGTCCCGTCAGAGCTGAGTGAGGAACTTTTATCTGAGCTCCGGGTGGGGTGAGGGGGTGAGGAGAAAGGAGTAGAGAGGATCCGGGTACACTGAGGGTTCAAGGTGACAGGAGACAAGGGACCGAGGAAGTCCTGCCCCTGAGGGAGGACTTGCAGACTCCCCCATCTACCCTGCTCTTGATTCCCTGCCCACCCAGGGACTGAATTGCTCCAGTGAGCTTCAGACTCCGTGCACGCTGGAAAGTAGATACATAGTCTCAAGGAATCAGGTCAGGCCCACAGAGGGCGGGGCTTCCGGCTGTGCCAGGAACCAAGAGACTGTGTGTGCCTCTAGTGAAGACCGAGGGGATCCTGGAAATTCCCTTCCGCTCCTGCTGTCTGCCTGGGAGACCCCGGCCACGTTGCCGTATGTGAGACCCACTCCACGTTGCCGTACATGAGGCCCGCGCCACGTTGCCGTACATGAGGCCCGCGCCACGTTGCCGTACGCGAGACCTGCGCCACGTTGCTGTGTGCTCAGTCCACGGACCGCAGCACGGAGGCCCCTTTGGATTGCCGTGGTGCAAAGATCCAGTTCTGAAGTAGTGCTTCAGGTGAGGGGAACTGTGCGGGTGGCGTCAGCTGGGGATCAAGGAGACAGCAGCTGTGGGAATGAGGACGCTCTCTCAATGGCAAGATCCGCCACTGTGAACCTTTCGTACGGAGAAAACATTCTCTGTGGAGACCACTTTTGGCTCCAGGGCCCCAGACTGTACTGTAAGAGTTCTGAGTGTGGGACTTCTCGGGGGAGGATTGGACAGGATCTGGGGTGAGTTAGTTCAAGTTGAAGGCTGAAGGAGAACTGGCGAAGTGGTGCTCCAGAAAGAGAAACGGTCCCAGAACGTTCTAGAAAAGCCTCCATGTTCTGCCTTGCACCACATGGTGCAGCCCTTTCAGGACAGGTCCTTGGTCCTTGCTTCAGGTTGGGAGGAGCAGAGAGGTCCCAAGTCAAGGACAGGGGCCCCAAACAACCCAGATATGCCTCATTTGGGCACCGCTGGGCAGGAAAAGAATTTTCAGGACCCGCCTCCTTAGTCCCCAACACAGCAGGAAAGCAGGGACAGAACCTTTTCCAGCCTTGCCTCAGGTCCAGGCAGCAAAAGACGCTGAGTCGGGTCCCAGTGAGAGGCTGTGAGCACCGGGGAAGTCTCGGCTTGCTTCGGCTTCCCCGCGAATCAGGCTCTCCCTGTGCCGTCAGCGCTACACCGCACAGGGACAGATGCGTTAGGACGAGTCCCAAGCCGAGGGCACAGGAACCCCTCTAAATTTGTCCACCTCTCACTGTTGCCCCTGCGCAGCTGTGTCGGATGCGGGTCCACCTCACTGCCTTTTGTTGCCTTATGGGGAGGAAAGCAGTGCTACTGAGAGTTGGCCTCAGGCCAGCAAGGACTGGGGTCCAGGCGCTGCCTCCGGGAACAGATGAGGGTCCAGAGAAAGCAGAGAGGGGAACAATTGCCCAGAACAGTGGGGACCTCACAGTTGCCTCTCCTCGGGTGTCCACCTCTGGGGTCATGGGGAGTTGGTGGCCTCGGATGCCATGATGCATGCGCAGGTCAGGAGTGGAGAGTGGGGACCCTGGGTATGCTGAAGATGCAGGAGGGCTGCTGTAACCCTGTCCTCCTGGCCAGACTTTGGGGAAGGCCCATGGAGAAGGGTGTGGAAATAGTCTTGTGTCTGCTTGAGCACAGAGACGTCACGCCTTGGTGCACAGTGGGACAGTCACCGGGGCAGCAGAAGAGCCACACCTAGGCCACAGAGGGAGGTGACCAGGCTCTGCCAGCAGACCTTGGCTGAGGATTCAAAGGTATTAACATGTAGTGATTGATCGCCAAGCGTTGCTACATGTAATATATATGTATATTACATATATACATGTAATATATGTATGATTACATATATATGATTTATAATACAGTTAACAGTATGTAATGAACGCAATTCTCAATATATCTCTATCTATCTCTTTATACATGTTTGTAGGGCATATTTGTTACATTCTCTACAGGAACTTCAAGCATGTATACATACCACAATTTCCCCTTTCTTATGAGATTTCCTTCTCTTCCGTTTGTTCAGCCCTCCATATCTTGCTTCCCTTCTCATATATTAAAAATCTGTCTTACAATTTACTATTGTCTTTCTTTTATTTTGGTCTTGCTTTACATTTTGAATTTCTTGTATAAGAGAAACCATTTGGTATTTAAGCTCGTGTGCCTGATTTATTTTGCTTAACATTATTGTCTCGAGTGCACCCATTTTCCTACAGATGACTTAAGGTTGTCCTTTTTTGGCACAGTAGTACCTCATTTTATTTTTTTCAAAAAGCCTACATTTTCTGTATCATTTATCTATTGATAGAAATATAGGCCACTTCCAAAATTTTGATATTGTGTACTGTGCTGCTATAAACATGGATATATATGCCTCACTGTAATACGATGTCTTTGATTCTTTTGGGATGATAACTAGCAGGAGAATATCTGGGATGAATGTGAATTGTATTGTTTTCTAGAAAATCTGACAGATTTTAACAGCGGTTGTACTAGTTTACACTTCCAACAACAATTAAGAAAGGTTCCTTTCTTTCTTACAGGATTGCCAACATTTGTTATTATTTCATTTTTTGAAGATAGCCAGTTTTCTGGAGTGAAACTGAATCTGTGATGTTTTCATTTGCATTTCATGAATGGCCAGCAATGCTGAACATTTTTCATGTATTTTTTGGCCATTAATACTTCGTCAACTGAGAAGTATCTATTCATTTTTTTGTATCTTCCTTTAAATGACCATTTCTTGATTGCATCTTTTAATTTTAGGGGCTAGTTTTTTTAGTTATATATCTATGCTAGATATTAGCCTTTTCTCTGAGGAATAACAGGTAAAACTTTTTCCAACTTCTACAAGTTGTCTGTTCACAGACAAGCCAGATATTGGCATATAGCTAATATGTACTAAATGTGGTACCTATAGCTTTGTTAATGGTAGACTTTAATTGTAATTTTGTAGAGTTAAATATCTAAAGATGGAGCCTGGGATTTAGCTCAGTGGCTTAAGTGCCTGCCTGGCAAGCATCAGGTCATGAGTTTAATCCCCAGTGCTAAAAAAAAGTATCTAAAGATTATTAAAGCTGGATGATTATTCTATTAAAGATGTAGCAGGTTGGGGCAAGAGGAATGCCAGCGAGAAATGTGAAAACTTAAACTCTAGCATACAAAGAGAAGTTAGCAAAATTAACGGTCCTATCAGGTACTAGAAGGATGCCTATAAAATTAATAAAGATACCAAAAAGAAAACAGTGAAGAAAAGTGTTAAGTTTTCAGAAATGATGGGAGGAAGGGATAGAAATTATGTGGCTTATGCTGAGGGTTTAGCTCAGTTGCTCAAGCGGTTGCCTGCTAAGTGCAAGGTCATGAATTTGATCCCTAGTACCAAAAAAAAAAAAAGAGAGAGAGAGAGAGAGAGAGAGAGAGAGAGAGAGAGAGAGAGAGAAATCAATGACTAATACAAATAAAAAATTAAAGTGAAGCATTAATGGGAAAAGAAGTGAAAAAAGAAAAATTATGTGAGAAAAAGAAAGACAAAATACTTTGTGATACTAAGTGAGGCGTTTACTCTCTGGAAGTGGAATTTTGGGATCCCGCAGTTCTTCATTTCCCAAGGGCCCTATGGCTTTCCCAATACATGGCTGCAGCCCAGGCACGAGGGACTGCTGCTCACACTGGTAGTCAAGGGAGGCAGCCAGACCGCAGGCCGGGTGCTGGATACTGCAAACGAGGCCAAGGCTCACAGACTCCGTGCCAAGACTTTGCAGTCCAGAGGACCTCAGGCTCAGCCGGGCTAGGCTGCTGCTGACAGTGATGTTCCTTTACAGCCTAAGTCCCACCCCTCAGGGTTTCTCTTCCCAGCCTGCTCCCTGTTCCAAACCGGTTCTTGTGGCTGCAGCGTACACAATCACAGCAGGAAGATAATAACACTGGGAACCCTGATATGAGGCCATCCCATAGCTGTTCTGAGCCCCAGGCTCAAACAGTTAAGCCTTTCCCCCAGTGGAACCCAAGCCCATACTCTCTTTAGGGACACAGCAGCCCCTATATTCAGGAAGAGTGTCCCCTTTACATTTGTAAGGCCTCTGTGGCAGCAGAACTCCACACAGTGCCTGCAGATCTCAGCAAGGACCAGGCAGTTGAAACAGTGCCTCCTCTCCCTGGGACCTCCTGAAGTCTCCGAGTTTCCCTTGCTTTCCACAGATTCAGTCTCCCTTTCCCGTGCACCAGGAGCCAGGGAGAAAGTCCAGGCCAGACTGTTTGGTTCCTTCTCTGCCTTGCAGTCTGACTCTTCAGTGTCTCTGTACTTTTTAATTTTCCTGTGAGTTGTTTCCTGTGAGTCCCTGCCACCTTCTCCATTTCTTTCTTTTTCTTAACCTCCTCTGGCTGTTATTTTTCAGAGCTCAACTGTGAACCAACGGGAGGCTGAATCGCTGCTGCTCACCGCTCCTTCACTGTCCAGCCCCAAACATCTGCAGGTGAGCCACATTTGTGGAAAGAAGGTCATCCTCAGAGCCTGTTTCCCCAGTTCTCACCCTCGTATTCCAGTGATGGTGGCTGTATGTCAGTTGCTGTCATTCATGCTAATTGTTTGGAGGATGATGGGACTCTGGAAGGTGCAGACCTTAGTCCAAGAAGTAACCACGGATCAGAAGAGGGAGCTACATATGGCCAGCAGGAAGAGGAGCCCAGCAGCTGCCAGTCTCATGCTACTGACTCTTCCTGAGGTTATGGGTGTCCACTGCCATAGACACCAGATCCCATAGCGTGTGCCTGTTCCCTGAGGCCATGCTTGGGGGGCTTTAACTGGCATGCAGACTTCTGCCATGGGCTGGAATGGAGTCATCAGGTAGACGAAGTCTTGGTCTCCAAGGGAGATCAGCTCATCCTAGGTGGCATAGGAGTGAGGGATGCGGGCTTCAACATGAGGATGATGGAGGAATTACAGAAGTAGGTATGGTTGACACACTGCATCACCCCGAGAAGTTTAGAAGTTTTAACTAAGCCACTAGGTGGGGAGCCAGGACCCTTACTTGTAAGCATCCTTGGCCTGTGCAAGTAGAGGGCACAGAGATGGTGTGAGGCTACACTCATCCTAGGAGGTGGCAGCCTGCTTACGATATAAGGGAGGAAAAGAGGCTTGTTCTTCTCTCCTTCGCTCTTTTGCTGCCTTGAAGTGTTGACCCTGTGCCACGCCACCCTGCTTTGAAGCCAGCTGATTACAGGCAGAAACCTCCTGGCCGTGAGTTAAATGAACCTTCCTTTCCTTCATTTTGGGTATTGGGTGTTTTGTCTCAGTAACAAGAGAAAAGTCACCAAGACACTTACATTCTAATTGCTGAGACCCAATACCTGACATCTGCAGTTTAATGGAGGAAAAGTTGCTTTGAGCTCACAACTCAGAGGTTTCAGTTCATATTCTGTCAGATCCAACACAGAACAGTAAGTAGGGATGTCTGGTAGGAGAAGCCAGGAGGCCCACCGTGAAGGGAGGGGATAAGATGGAAGATGGAGCCTGCCCGGTCACACCCACCCCCTGTCATCTCAAGGTCCCACCTGTGATCCCACAGGACTTTCTGGAGGAAAGCTACACATAAAGCATAACAAGGGCAGCGTATCACAGGAGAGATGGGCACAGGCCTTGCTGTCAGGACTGAAGTCCCCATGTAAGGGTGACAGGATTGTCACCTGCTCACTTCTTTTGAGAATCTTGGAGATCTCATGGAGGCGAGGGACTCGATCTGAGATGGGGTCTTCAGATTGGCACAGAGAAGTCCATCTGGTCAGGAGACACACGCTTCCCATGTCTGCCCGGAGGCAAGGTGAGGGTCCTAAGGGCGGCCAGAAGGTTCCCCTGCCCAGGACACGGAGAAGTGGGTCCTCCACAGACATCTACCTTGTGGCTTGATCAGCCTGGGCAGCCGCGAGGCCGAGGCTGCTGTCTCCCCGCTGTGGCACTGGTCTCAGTGAGCTGAAGGCCTTGGCAGGTGGGAGGTGGAGCGAGGAGAGCAGAAAGGAGCCCGAGCCGCGTGAGGAGTCTAGGTGAGGGCAAAGCGAATTCCCTCGGCACAGCACTCAGGACCGTAGCCTCAGCCTGTCCCTTGGTAACCTGTCATCAGACCCTGGGAACACAGGTGGAGTGGATTCCCCTGTGATCGCTTTGAATGTCTCACAGAGTTTTAAGAAGGTGGCCCTAGTGACCCCAGAGAAAGTCGAAGACCTACCCTTGTTTCAGGGAAAGAATGGAGCAGGCATTTCCTAGGGCAGCCCTTTCCTAGGGCACACGGACCCCACTGAATCTGTCTACCTCTTGCTGTCACGCCAGGGTGACTGTGTCCAGGTGTGAGTCCCTGTCATTGCCTTTTGTTCCCTTTCAAAGTCATCTGCAGTTTTCCTGAGAGTTGGACCCAGGCCAGCAGAGGGCTGGGTTCTAGGCCTCGTCAAGGACAGTTGAGGTCCCTTAGTGAGCAGAGAGTTGACCACCCACTCTGAACAGTGGGGACATCACAAAGTCCAGCCACCCCACCTGGGCATGCAGCAGGACTGTGCTGAGGGCTGCAGCCTGAGGCCTCCACAACTCTTACAGGAGCTGCAGGAAGCAGACGGTGAGGTCTTGATGCGAGGCTTCCACCGCAGAGGAGGCCCAGCTATCGAGGGAGGTTCATATGCTGAACGTGTACAGAGGTTTCACCACCTGGTAGATGGAGAGGACTGCTTGTGCAAGTCCCCACAAGCCATGCTGTCTTCCTTAAAGCCTGTCCCCTACAATTCAGTCATAACCTGAGCAGCAGTCTCAATTCCTGGCCCAGGTTCTTGGGGACACAGCCTCCAGAGGAACAGAAGGCTGTATGGCCCCACACACCACCCAAAGCAAGAACTGTAAGTGGCCCTCATGGGAATGCTGTTCTCAGCCAAGGAAACCTCACAGTGTTTTCCTCTCCTCCAGGTATCTTGAGTCATCATCAGCAGGAACCTGTGAACATCTTCACAATCAGAGGAGCCAGCACAGCGCACCAAGGGGAGGCCATCCTGCACAAGGAGGGCCACGGGGCCTGGGGGAGGTGCAGGGTCTCAAACCTGAGGGAGCACATAGCAGCCACTGCTTCCTCTGCCTCCTCTTCCTTCTCTTCCTATCCCTGCTCCAAGAGAAGTGCCTCAGGCTGGGCACAGTTGTCCTCAGCATCCTCAGGGCATCTTTCTTCCCAGCATTGCCATGGCCTCTAGGCGTAGCAACCACCCCAGGGAGTGCTCCAGCACTGAACGTGAGGGGCATCCAAGCACCTCACGGGTCCGCGCAAGCTCTCTGCCGCTGCCCGATACGGTCCTGCATGACAAGGTACATGAACTGGTGGATTTCGTGCTCCTCAAGTATAACAATCAGGAGACGACCACCAAGGCAGAGATGCTGCACTGTGTCCTCCAGGACTGCCAGGAGCACTTCCCTCGGATCTTCAGCAAAGCCTCTGAGTGCTTGTATATGGTCTTTGGCATTGATGTGAAGGAACCAGAGCCCCCTGAGCAAATATATGCCCTTGTCCCCGTCCTGGATCTCACCTATAATAGAATGCTGGCTGGTGAGCATGGCATTCCCAAAACCAGCCTGCTGATAATCATCCTGAGTATCATCTTCATTAAGGGCAACCATGTCCACGAGGAGGTTCTATGGGAAATGCTGGGCAGGATGCAGGTGTATGAGGGGCAGGAGCACTATGCCTATGGAGAGCCCAGGCAAGTCATCACCGAGCATTTGGTTCAGGAAGGCTATCTAGTGTATCGCCAGGTCCCCGACAGCAGCCCTGCTCGCTATGAGTTCCTGTGGGGTCCAAGGGCCCATGCTGAGACCACCAAGCTGAAAGTCCTGGAGCATTTGGCCAAGGTTATTGGGAAAGATCCTCAGTCCTACCCACGTCTGTATGCAGAGGCTTTGAGAGAGGAGCCAGTGGCTCCCCAGATATGACTTTTCGTCTAGGCCACCGATGGGGTGAAGCATGCCCAGGGATGAGAAGCATGCCAGCACCACCTCACTAGCATAGCTCCTACCCCGTGACAAATGAGCTCCATTCCACAGTCCATTTGAGGAGAGGAGGCAGGTTTCTAAGTGGTTAGGGCCAGGGTAGGACAGGAAAGCGTGTTCCACGGCTTTGATGTCTGTTGTGTTTGGATTGCCTGGAAATGGACATGTGATTTCTTTATGAAGTTTTGAAATCCCCTTTCTTTTCTGTAAGATTGAAGGAATTTGCACTTATGCAAAAAATGATACTGACTTTCCATGTATTTTCAGTTTTGTGATCTTCATGGTTGATTGTGATTCTGATGTGAATATCATTTCATGTCATATGGATCACATGTGAATTTTGCTCTTCCATTCCAAGTGTTAGAACCTTTGCTCTTTTGTAAACCATTTTATTTGTGATACGGAACAAGATACCATAGCACTCGCATAGTAATTTTCTTAGAAATATATATAAGATGTTCACATCAATTTAGACATAAGCATAAGCATAAAAATTGTTGTTGCATGCTATTAAAAATATGTGTATACTACAATTGTACAAAACAGTACAGAACAAGACCTGAACAACTATTCCTAAGATGACAATATGTCATCTATTAACTAGTGGTTTCTTACTGTTTATTTTTTTTTTAATTCTGTATTGTACCCTTTTACTGTTTGGTTTTTTTCTTTAAATAAAATTTTAAAAAAATATACTTGAACGTGCTTGGTTTCTTTTATGATAGTAAATCTACCCACAGGCAGGGACCCCAGTCCTCCACTCTGCACATGCTCTTTGTAATGCCCTGTGTCTGTGGTGCAGGTGAGTGCACCACCCTGAGCAGGATCAAACCCCCATGGGGTGGTGGACACCAGGAGTACAGCCAATGTCGGGTGACAGAGAGGTGGCGTCAAGGACCCAAAGGACGTGCGAAAGACCCCCAAGGGGTGGAGTCTAGCAGAGAGCAGTCCTGGGGGAGTTCTAAGACAGTCATTTCGGGCTTATGGTAACTTCTGTTCCTTCTGCAGCAGTCGGGGCAGACCCTCAGAGGAGGTGTCTGTGCCCGGGAGGACGGAAGCTTGCTCTGAGCCGCACTTTTAGATGGTGGTTGAGGCTGACAGGAATCCGCACCTGGGACAGCTGTGAGAAGAGTTGGTCTACACGGGAACCATTAGATGTACCCTCTGCCTCTAAAAAGACTTCCTGAGGGATAAGGATGAGTCAAGGGAAGTGTGGCCCTGAAGTCCCCGGCTGGGTGCTGTGTTCTCTGCTGGAGTGTCTGCTTTCCAGGGTTTCACAGTGCCCCAGTTGGCTTGCTTCCCCAGAGACAACTCGTCCACTTTAGTCTACTTTCCCTGAAAACTCTTCAAAGAGGGCTTCAGCATCTGGCCAACGGCGTGGGCCAGGTACACAAGTGGTCAGGACACTGCCTGTCCAAGAGGTCCTCCCACCAGAGAGACTTCTCAGAGTTTTTGAGAGCCTTCCTCGTCTTAGAGCTGGAATAACCTGAGGCCCACTAGTCACAGGAACTTCTGAGGATCCCTGTGATTAAAGGACAGGACCAGGACTGGACTCATAGTGTGAGGTCACCTAGAGGCTACCCTGTTTCCAGCCCTCCTGACGTGAACCTAGCTCTACTTCTGTATTTATCTCTATACTTAGAGAAAATTTTAAAATAGCTCTCAGGGTAGAAAGACCCTGTGCCTAAGGCACTGAACCCTGGCCTGAAATAAGTGTAAAAGTGAGCAGGCGATAGAGCACACTGTTCCCAGGGGAGCTGCCCAGATTCACCTGCCCTCACCGACAACATAGAGCAGGCCCTGCCTGTCCCTTACTCACCCTGGAGACCCTCCAATAGCAGCAGCCTTTTTGACACAAAAGTTTACTTTGGACTATGATGTTTAGAACGTGGGTCATGTGCCTGACAAGCCAAATAATGCACTCTCAAACTTTCCCAAATGGATAATGATAAGTTGTTTGCCACAGAGCATAATCTACTCCTTGTCTTGACAGGTAAATTAGGACAGTTTTTGAGACCATCTTGATGTTTTCATAGGATTTTAATGGAACGAATTGCTAGAAAAGGTTAATGGAACACATGTTTAGGTACATGAGTTTATGTAGGTAGTCAAACCTCAAGTTCTCTAAGAGTTTCAGTCAGGCAGGACCATGCTCACCACAACTGAAGAGACTCAGTACCTCCAAACCCTGACGTTCCCTGTGTAGGTGCCAAGTGTTTCTTTGTTGATCTTCAAAGAGAAATAGTAAAGCCTTCTTTCTCTAATCTCTGGTGTCTGTCCCTCCCCACAGGGAGGTCCTGGTTTGCAACATCCTGATGTTCAGACAAGGACAGTCATGTGCACTGTAGGAACAGCTCACAGGTCAGCAGACTGGCCATGGATGGCAGGTGTTGCCAGAATCACACAAATCCCTGTGCTGACTGAGGTTTCCTCGTCCTGTTGCTCTGCCCCGCTGGCCCACCCTCTCCTGGACCCGGCCTCAGCCTGCCCAGCTCAGAGCATTTCGCTCTCTGTGTCCCCACTGCCACCTGCTCAGCCCAAGACAGTGCCAGGTGCTGATGGTAACAGGCAAACACCTTTGCCTGAAGATTCCTGGAGAGAGTTATGGTAGGAAGTTCTTTCTGTGTGGTTGCAGCGGAGCTGAGGTGTATGCCCCACAGAAATGTATACAGAACTTATTTTCCTAGCACATGTGACCTGTTAAAACACACTCAGGTTTAAATGCTGAACTGAGAACAAACACTCCACAGCTAATCGGCACACCCACGAGCCTTGATTTGACTAGACACTCCTAAGCTCAAACTGCTCTTTTCACAGCTGGGAATCTCATCCTTTGAGGACTACGTCTCAAAAAATCTGGCTGATCTTTTCCTAAAGCAGTTCTCACAAGAGAGGACGGTATACAAATGATGCACCCTCTCTGGCTGAGGCTGCAGAAAATTAGAGAAGTTACTGTCTGTTCCAGAGTGCCTGGGCTCCCGGGTAGCACCTGTGCTGCTCTTTGTACTGGTACCGGCCACTTCAGTTCACATGCTTAGTTTATTCACTCGCAGATGAGCGAGTCAAAGGAGTCCATACGTTTTGGCAAGCAGAAAATCAATATTGACTCAAAGCCAGCTCCGAGCAGGCGGCACGGCTCGCTTGCCTCAGATCTCCATCTCGCCTTGTGCAGGTGGGGAGGGCTTTTTACTCCTAGGCACAGAGGGCCGAGAGCGCACAGAAGGAAAATTCGGACCGCCACACTGGCTTTGTCATTCACAGCCGTCTTCGGCTCATTCTCCACTGTCCTGAGGGCAGGGCACCAGGCTCCAGCCTCCCGGAACTGGAGACATCTGCATCTTCTGTCACTCCTTTTGGTCTGAGGAGAAGAGGGGATGTTGATTATGTACTAAAAAATATGAGGTCTGGGTCAGTTGCTCATGTCTAATCGAAAATAAGTCAAACTTTGAAAGTCACGTGTCACGGTGTAGGAAGACTCAGGCAGTGACAGAAGTGGGGCCACTGCCCGCCTCGGTCCAGGGAACCCGCATTCTGTTTACTGCTGCCAGGAGAGTGCAGTACACATAGAGCATGTCTTACTGAGCATGATGATGGCCCTCCCTTCCAGGCCATCACTTTCTATTTTGTGACCTGTGTGCCCTGTGAAGTCATTATTCCGTTGCTCCAAAGCGCCAGCCCTCCCGGGGATGCAGCATGACACAGAGGCTGGCGGAGGGCAATGGTCGGCTCTCTGTATCTTGAATGTTCAGTGACTCTTGGTCATGTGTGCTCTGTGAACATCAAAATGGAGCCCGAATTTCTTCACATTCTGGGCCTTTTCCTGTAGGCTCATCAGCATACCTCTCCCTCTATCCTGGTTGTCTCAACATTACAATGTTTTTCGTTCTAGATGCCCACTCGCCTGAACAATACATTTCCACTGTCCATAATTTCACCTGTATTCTGACCTCAAGCCCCTCTCTCCTTACACATAAAATGCGTCACTTTTGCACTGTGCCAATCTCTCCCTCCTGGGAGAATTTCTGTCACTAATTTTTTATCCTCACTTGACTGAGGAGAGGTCATAACAACAATCTGTTTGCAGCTTGCACCCTAATTCCAGCCAACCCCTCTGCCATGGTTTGCGTAAGTGTCTCCCAAGGGCTGCTGGTTACAGGCTTGGTGCAGGAGCTGTGGGGCCATTGAGAGGTGTGGGAACTAGAGACAGAATGTACTGGAATATCTTAGGTCACTGGAGTAGCACCCTTGAAGGGGATTGTCCTACTTTGCAGCTGCCATGAAATGCAGAGCTCCACAAAAACACTTGGGAACGGGAGGGGAGGATTTCCATGATCTCTGGCTAAGCATCTCCAGCTTGGAGAAAATGGAGAGATCCAAGCCTTTGTTCCCGCCACACAGAATGCACTCACGTACCTCGTAGTGCTCCCCAAAATTCATCACCACCACCCCAGTGGCCTGCTGCCAACTATCCTCCTTTCCTGTTAGCCTTTGGTGCCGCTTGAACTAGGAGGAGACATGATTTTTGGCTGAAAACTTTCCCCACATTCTAGCAAGCCTGTTCTATTACTTGAAATGCCTTTATCCATGATTGCATCAACCTAGATGTCACCAAGGTGCATTCAATAAATGACCCCCTTCCTTGCATACAACAAAGACATATTACTGTCACTGCTCTGTCTCTATACAACTACTCCATTTCAAGGAAGTGGTAAACAAGTGTCAGGTTTTTGAGGCATGCCCTATTGCCTAGGTGTTTCACAGTGTTATTGGGATCTTAAAGAAAGTTTTTTATTCTGAAGGCCATGCATTGCTTACATCATAGGGTTTTAAACAGTGAAAACCACTAGGAGAGAGGTGTGCAAAAAAATTAGAGTGTGTGCTTTTCCTGGAGGGTCATTCCACCCCACATAGGCCTGCTCCTACCTTCTCACGGAGAGAAGCAGCGTCCCTCAGAGCCACAGCCCTGCAGCACCTCAGGTCTCTCTCCTCACACAGCCCACCTCTCCTTTCATCCCCCTCAGTCCCTCAAACAAGAGGCATACAAACAGCTTGTGTGGTGGAATTTATTTTCAACACACTTGACTACCAGTTAGGGTAACATTCACGTGAATGCTCCTGACTGGCACCCAGAGGCCCGACCTCCGGTGGCTCTGGAGAGGGCCAGGGCCTCACTGAGTGTCCATGTCTTCGCATGAGGACTCAGACTTCGCCGCCTTCAGTTGGCTCTGTTCTGGGTCGTCTTGACTGGCTTTCACCTTGGGCTGCTGGAATTGCCTGAAACCCAGTGGCGGTCTCCTCTCCTTACGCCTGCTGGAAAGGGTGTGAGCTCTGGGGTAGATTTTTTTCCTCAGAGAGCATGTAGGTGTCTTCACAGCTTGCTGGTTGTTCTGCAGATCTGCAAGGACACG